ACAAGAATGGGCAGGCATGAATCCGTATACTATAATTAAAGATATAAGATGACCTATCATCATGTAAAATGTGATAATTTTATAAATAAGTATAAATATAAATAACATGAAAAAACAGTATTTTACCACTAAATTTATAAAAAACATAAGCCCTAGTTTCATGAAGATGTAAAATTAATCAAATGCATGTAGCATAAATGGGAGCATAAATTACTTTACTAGAAAAAATAAAGCTAACTTGTAGTGTACAGTTTCCAAAGAGAATAGGTTTAAAGTAACATAACCCCTGCTAAGAAATCAGTGCTTAACTCAGGTAGTAATGAGAATGGACAGAAGATAATATATTACTGGTACATTAAGGGCCTATTCTCTCTAGTGCTAATTTAGGTTTAGTTAAGGATGACAGATATTTAATGGTTGGTAAAATTACATAAATCTTCTTTAACTTCAATAGGGAAATTAGGGAGATTACAAGAGACATAGACATACATACACGCACAATAGAATACAGAATTACATTTTCCTAATTTGTGTAAAATAATATTTCTCTCACATCTTTTCCCTTGTACTCACAGTGTACACAGTTTTTGCCCACTACAAGTGAATATGAACTATTATTTACTAGGAAGTCACTGTTCAAAGCACTCTGTCTATCTTCTATCTATATACAATTCATTCTTTTGGACATTATGAAGTAACTTTTATTATATCTAACACACTCTGGGATATTTAGTGACCTTAACAATTTCAAAAATAATAAATAGTGATTTGAATTGAAGCCTATATTGTCACTGCTCAGTCAATGGACTTTTTAAAAATTACCATAGACATATATATCCCTCATTTTAGACGTAGATGAAGTAAAGACTTTCACTTTGACAAAGATTCCTCCTGGTAAAGAAAGTTCACAGTTATAGATTTTGCTTGAAACTCTAATGCAGTCTAGAAGTTTTCCCATATTACATTTATTTAGCTTACTTTGAAATTTTAGTTTATTAGTACATGTGTGTAGTACACAATGTTTACATTTCTTATGGAAATTTGGTACATGTACATAACACATCTTAATCTATTTTTTCATTTCCTTTCCTTTGTCTTTCTCACTCCTCTACCCATCCCTTGATCTCCATTTTGCACATGTTTGCAATGTGTAATGTTTACCCTCCTTGTGTAGAGTTGGTACATGCACATAATTCATCTCAATTCCTTGTTTTCTTTCCTTATCCCTTCCCTCCCTCTCCTTTTCCTCCTTCCTCTTCCCTGATTCTCTCTTCCATCTCCTTATTTCCCTCCCCTTTGAGAATGATCTATCTCTCTACTACCTCTTACCTGTCTCTCTCTTTTTTTTTTTGCTCTTTATTTTACTCTTATAGAGAAACAATGTTGTATTTAACCTTGTGTGTCTGCTTTATTTCACTTAACATTATGGCTATCAATGTGGATCTGTTTTCCTACAAGTGACTCAAGTTACGGTATCTAGATTTTAACAACTTACTTTCTCATCTATGTTCACTGGATCTATAAGATGTGTCTTTCTTGATTATTGTGCATTGTACCAGGTGCTCCAAATTAGAGTAGGAATGCTGTGAGGCAACCTTCAGTATGCACTGGAATAATTTTAGGACATGTTTGAATTATGTAATATTTACACTCACCTTCCGGAGTAGTTATATACACTTAACATATCTTAATTTGTTTTATTTCCTTTCTCATCCCCTCTCCTCCCGCGCCGCTCCCTCTTTCTCCAGATCCCATTCCCATATGCAAAGAATTTATCTTAGTGTTTCTTATTCTCTATCTTTTATTTTGTTTGTTAAATTTCCTATACCTTGGATTTTCATATGAGAAGTTATGCAATATTTAAGATTCTCTGATTTATTAGAAATAACATTATTCAAGATGCATTCATTTTACTAGAAATGAGTCAAATTTATCCTTCTTTATGGCAGAGTGATACTCCACTATATACAAATACCACATTTTCTTGACCCACTGTTGTTTAGATGGATATATATGCTCCTTTCAAGATTTAGCTATTATGAGTTTTGCTGCTATAAACATAGCTACATGTGTATCACTGTTGTATGATGTTTTCACCTTTTCTTTGGAAGATAGATAAAAGAGGAATAGCTGGGTCAAATAGAATTTAATGATTTAATTTTTTGAGGAAACGCTACACTGATTTTCATAGTGATGATACCAGTTTACATTCCCACCAAAAATGTAGAAGAATGCCTTTTCCCTTAAGACCTTTCCAGCACTTTATTTTTGCTTGATTTTTTGATGCATTTTCACTTGAGTTTGCAGGGGAAATGACAGTGCCTGGGATGTCTTCCATTTCACCTCCCCAAGGCCAAACTGAAACAATTATCTTCAACAAGTTCAACATTATTTCAAAAACTCATACTTTTAAACTACAAACTGGTGTTGATTTCAAACTGAAGCTAATGTTAGGCTTTTATAATACAGGGAGAAATTATAATGGCTTTATCATCAAGGAGCTCATATCTTGATGGAAAATGTATATAGAAGCTTAACAGGTACAGAGTTATAAATAATATGATATTTTTAATCATGGAATGTGGGGTAGAAAAAAAAGTGGCATTAAATCAGTTCTGAGTTGAGAGTAGACTTGTTGGAAAAGGCAGTAATCTTCTTAAGCCAGATGGAGAATGTGGAAAAGAAATCATAGGTCAAGATATGGAGGGGAAAGAGGGCTTTCAGGTAGTTCATTTTGGTAAGACCATAACACGTGAGGGAGTGAAAGAACTCAGGGTATGTTACAGCATTTTTCATGCCAAAGTAGCCATGACTTGCACATGAGGAAAATGTGGAATTACAGCAGAGACACTGGCAAGGAAATAACAATGTCCAGATTTGCATATTACAAAGACAGTGCTATATACAAAGGCAATGTGATCAGCTAGGTTATATGTAGAAGTTCATGTAAATATCAGTGAGATCTGAATTATACTGACTTAGAAGAAATGACATTGCCTGTACATGGAGGTTATTTATGAGGATTTGAGAAAAGGAATAGACAATAGGCTTTGTGTCTAGAATTTAAGAGAGAGATATAGGCTGAGGATTTGATACTCATCAGCACTATCTGTTAGTGATATTTTAATGTTAAAGATCTTATACAGATTAAGCATTATGCATGTGGATAAGATGTATATACTTTCGTTTGGTGCTTCAGTGAGCACATGGAATGTTTACATGCAAAGGTAAACTTGTAACACTTTTGTGCAGGTATATATGAAATAAATTATAATTACTGCTACTATTTGTCAGGAGTTTTGTTAAGTGCTTTGATTTATTTTCTAGTGTTTATCATATGTCTTTAACATAGAAGCAATTATTCTCATATTGCATATAAGCAGATTAAAATAGTATAAAATGCCTAAGGCCATACAGTAACAGAGGGGGAGCTCTAAAGTCAGTGCTCAACTTTCACATCTCACTTTCTGGGTTGGGTTGCTCCAGCACTAAACACAGATTACATTGTACACAAGCAGCTGCTGGGAAGGCTTCAGCTCCACCCTTATCTCTGGCTAGGAGCCCAGTAGGTGGTGACAAACAAGCTCCTTGGGAATTGTGGGTAGATACTGGACTCATAAAACAAGGGATTCCTAAACACACCTCTGCTTAGTCTGTTCATCTTTGCTCCAGGTGTATGCAAACCTCCAGTGCTAGGACCCTGAGGCATCCAGGCAGCTATGGCACCTCTGCTCACTGTCAGATTGCAGTTGCTGTGCTTACGGGCCATAGGTTTTCTTATAGGCTTAATAGGACAAGCTGCTCGTGTGTTTGGAGGCCAGAAATTTGACTCAAAGACTACTGGGCCAGTGACTGAACCTTTGCTGTTGCTCTCTGGGGTACAACTAGCCAAAATGATCCGACAAAGGAAGGTGAGCATATAAGGAAAGCTGATTCTGGAAAGGGTGGAGGGGACACATCTTTCAGTGGGCAACTCCCAGAAAGTTTAGTGGTGGAGCAGGTGGTAACATAAGTGAACTGACTTTCTTTACTTCCTTGTTCTAAGGTGACAAAGGATAGACAATTATTTGGGATGAAAGGAGCCTTCTGGAACTTGTGTGTGTCCTCATATACAGGGCATTTGAATTGGATATCAGTGGGATTATTTTGGCATCCTACATAATTGTTCTGTCCAGTTGTCCAGTTTGTCCATAAAAATTGTGCAACCTTAGTCAGAGCAGGTTTTTGAACTGATTCTCAGCTGGCTATTAAAGTTCTCTCCCCTTTTCTTTCCCTTTTCCTCCCCCTTCCCAGATTTCCCTGCTGCTTTCTATCTAGGGATTTTCTTTTTTATTTAAAAGAACATACAAAAGAATAACAATTAGAATAGAATTGGTCTAGAATAACATTTGGTTTGGTTTCAACTCATTTAATGTATAATATATGTCAAATATTGAAAGGCAAATGTAGAGTCAGGTAATCAGTGTCACTGAGGTCTTATTTTGGTAATACCATATCTACATAAAGAAACTGATGTAAGATGATTTAAACAAATACACAGAAATTCATGGAGATTCTGAATTCAAAGGTTTAAGTAGCTGAAACAGTTTCTAGAATTCTACTGGCTTTATCTATTTCTATTATCTATTTCTGCCACATGAATGGTGGTTTTCTAGAGATCTTGGGCTATAGTCTAGTATTTGTTTATTCACCTCTTGACCTCATTGCTTCATTTGTTTTTCCTTATTGAGTTGTTTCTAGAATCTAGAATATTGCATGGCAAAGGGTAGATATGCAATAAATACTTTCTGAGTATCTGAACATGCATTTTGAGTGCATGAAGGAGTAATTGCTTTCGAATGCCTAGTTACTGTTTAATGCTATCACATGCTTTATTCCTGTATTTCCTCTCTAACACTTCCCACTCGTGTGATTTTGCTAACAACTAGGGAGGTAGTGGGGTGTACTAGAAAGATAATAGAGCCTGCATTTTTGGATTTTCTTTTCATAGGTAGGTGATCTTGTGTAAGTCTTGGTATACAATTACAAATAACACATGCTAAGTCTCTGGCACATAATAAGTTGTGGTTTAGTGATTAGAAGCAATAAACTCTGGGGCCAGACTACTTGGCTTGTGTGTGGTCCTCAAAATGTTGCTTATCCTTGTATGTCAGTTATCTCATTAAAATGGACTTGATTCTAGGTTCTATTGAATCTACTTTATGGAGTTATTGTGAGGACTAAATGAGCGTATATGTGTATAACTCTTAAAACACTACCTGTGATAGTAATTCTTATGTTACTATCACCGTGTTTGGGGTAAGGATGTCAATTATTAATATGTTTATAAGTGTTCTTCATAAAAGATTATCTAAATATATTTTATATAAAAGTATCCTGAAAGGGAAAAGTGAAGAGAATATGGTGTTTTATTTCTACTACCTTTCTTCCAGTCCCTCTTATCTTTAAGAGGTTATGCCTCTTATCTTTCATACTTTCTTTCTCTAGAGAAATGATTCTCAACTGGCAGTTTTGGCCATCAGGAGACACATGGCAATGTTTGGGGCATTTTTTGTTGTCACAATTGGGTAAGGACCATGGATACTACTAAATATACTCCAGTGCACAAGACAGCTCTCTCCATAACAAAGAATTATCTGGATTAAATCATCAGTAGTGCCAAGGATGAGAAATCCTTCTGTATAGAACTATTTGAGAAAGCTAGTTTCTTTCTGATATCGCTGTTGAGACAAGAGAGAAAACCATTGTGAAAGAAAATGATGATTTAATCTACTCCTTGTGTAAGACTGGGTTGGTGCCTGTTGAAACTTAGGTCAAATCTTTGGTCAAATCTAGGACTATAGATGCACTGATACACGCTCTTATTAAAGAAGGTCTGCTATATACTAAGAATTTCAGGTATTTTATCTCCAATTCTCATATTAAATAGCAAGAAATTAAGATTAAAATGGAAAAGTACTTGATGGTATTACTTATTTAAGGAGTATTAAGTCCAGTAGATTATCTATTCTGACTCAGAAGTTACTTATATATATTGAGATATTATTATTTGTGTTTGAATACATCAGAGGATAATTCTTGTACACCAGATCCAGGAAAAGTCTAAACTATTGGTATCTTTAGTTTGATTTAAGACCTTCAGAAAAATTAAATATTTTTATTTTCTCTTGACTGTGCTATCCAAAGGTCACCTGTGTTCTTAATCCTTGTAATATTTATGCAGGAATGACAAGTCCATTTAGTCTGTTTCCTTTATCATTCTAAAGATCAAAGATTCACATTTTATCTTTCTCTCAAGTGCCTTAAATTGAGGAAGTGATTTATTCTTGTAAACCCCAAACTCCTGGAATGTAAAATGGGATACAATAGTATCTATTTCATAAAGTTCCCAAGATACATGAATGAAGTAAAAACTATAAAATTCCTACCACATATTCACTAAAAGTTAACAAATGCTGTAGATGGTCACCTATCTTTTAATAGGAAGAAAGAAAATACCATCATGGATGGTAGCATCTCTTGTGGAAATTTGGTTGTGTTTCTTTCTCTCTACTACTTACCTTTGATTTACTCAAATCCACTCTTGTGATCAGCATTTACACAGATGCCTACAATACACACATACATATGTATATACACTTGCAACAAAATAATCACATCCACAGTTTACAATTATCATGGAAAACTATGTAAATTGGATAAAAATTTTGATATATTTCTTATTTATTTAAAAAATTTTATTTGTATTATTCAAAAATTAGAACTTTAATCTGTATTGATTTAGATCAGTAGCTTTTGTTTTTCCTAAAGAGGCCTACATACTCTATTTTGTAAGTACGTGTACTTAGGACATAATCTATATTATAGGATTGTGGGGATGAAATGATTGTTGTGTGTAAAACTCTTAAAATAATGCCTTCATAATGTATAGAGTTATTATAGGACATGGAAGTTCAAAGTTTTATAATAACTTGTCTAGTGTCGTAAAGCTAAGATGTTATAGAACCTAGTAAATCTGATTACATTTTTTGGTAAACTTAATGGAAAGTAATGTTTTCTGATAATTAACTCTCTGATTGAACAATCATATCCTTGTAAGTTAGTGTCTATTTTCTTTATGCTTGCTTTTACATCTCTTGTAATTGCTCATTATTAAGAATTCAGGCTACCACTATTTCTTCTGAAACTTCATAGCCTCAGTTGGTCTCTAAGACTGGCTCTCACAAAAAAGTATCGTCTTATGTTCACCACGATTAACAGTGTTGTAATTGTCTATGCACATTTGGAAGATTGATTTGTTGGGGACCCCAAGTTGATGGGGTTTTGAAGACACAAGTTCTACTTCCAAATCATCTAATGGCATGTGTATGAAGACATTCTCATCTGTTTTTGTCAAAATACATACTTATAAAGGGAAATCAGGGTCTTTATTACATTTGGTACAAGATATCTACACATTCAAAATTGTCAACAATTAAAATGGTATGGTGTTTCTTCATGTAGAAGATAAAGAATGAGTTCTAAGATGTTTTTTTGAGTGAAAAAACAAAAAGCCACATAGTTTATACTATGCTATCATTTGTATGAAAAAGATTACCTTTATCTGTTTTTTGTTGTTTCTATTTAGTATCTATCTGTTTTCTGTTTATAGTATCTGTTGCTGAAAAGAATCATAAAAAGTGGTAACAGTAGTTGATGCTAGAAGGTGTTGGGAATCAGGGGTACAAAGAGATTCTTTCTTTGCATGATTATTGTAATTTTCTTTGTAATTGTCGCTTATTAATTGTACATGCTGAGGGGGCATGTTGTGAGAGGACAGAGGAAGATGGGTAGAAGTTAGTCAGTATGTCCAAAGTTACAGTTTCATAGGAAGAATAAGCACTGATTTCCTATCACATAGCAGGGTGATTATGTCTTGTAATAATGTATGCAGTTTTATTTTTAGATTTTTATAAACTATTTGCTCGTGATATTTCCAATAAAGATAATATTTAATGAAGATATTAGAAAAATTATTATCTAATTCTTAACTATTACAAGTATCAATATTCTCTCCTTTAGTTTGACCAAATGAAAACAATACAGTCGTTAATCAGTATGAAACAAATCTACAGAAAGTGATATAAATAGTTCTAAATTATGTTAGCTGGTAAAGATTATAAGAAATAAAACAATGAATATAATTTATGTGAGGGAAGGAAAGAAACCAGAGAGAGAGGGGGAGAGAGAGAGAGGAATTTTTACTTTTCATTTATACTTACCTGTAGTGAATGACTTTTCTAATCATATACATGTTCTTTTACTTCTCTGTACCAGCAGGGATCATTTGGGAAAAAAAGTAAACACATGTATACATGCTCAGTTGTGTGATCTTGCTTAAATTTCATGACCTAAATAATCTTCAATGGCCTTTGTTTACAGTACAGGGATATTACATTTGTTTTCAAGAGTATTTAATTGCATAATACATATAAAGTTTTTGACAATTAAGTTTTAAACAAATGTCAATTTTTGTGTATTATCCCTTCTAATACTTGTTTTACCCATCTACTTGCCACAAGCTCAGTTAAGGCAGTAGGTGGAAATATGAAGAATTATGGAGTGGTGTACATTGATGAGGTGGCTGGATTCTAGAACTCAGCTGCACAATTCACGTTCTTTACATCAGAACTGTATGTACACTAGACTGCAATATAGTTTTATGGTGATTGAAATCATTATTTAAGGATGAATTTTAAAAAATCTAATAGTAATCTATTAGGTGCACAATTCTAAAGGACAGGTTGGCATTAGCCCAAGAAAAAAGGTACAGGTATATACATTGTTTTCTTTTAATACTTTCAATCTATCCTGTATTTATGGTTATAACTTCTTTTTATTTATTTATTTATTTTTGGTACCGGGAATCGAACTCAGGACCTTGCACTTGCCAGGCACGTGCTTAGCCACTGAGCTATGTCCATGGCCCAACTTCTTTTCATTTTTAATGTTCACCTAGTTGACTCACTGACTCTATGTAAGACTGTTTATGAAATAGTAGAACCTTTGAAATCACCTTTATGTATTGGGTTCCTAATATTATTGGATTATGACAAATTACCCAGTTGACGTAATCTGTTTCAAAAAACTTTTAAATTTAAATTTTTTCTTTGTGAATAAGTGCACTATTATCTTTGTTATTTATGAATACAGACAATGTGTACTCTTTTTATTTAATGTTTCCTCTTGATGGAGTGAAAACTCCATGTATATATTTTACCATGTTAGCTGTATATTAAATTAGTGGATATACCTTTTTTTCATCTATTTGTTCTATAGATTTTGGAAAGACCTATTTGGTCTATTCCTGTGTTTGCATTTCAGATCAAGTTCTTTTTATATTCCCATTTGAGTTGATGTTTTATACATTCACTTGCTTTTTAGTACAAAAATGATGTATTACTTATATAACATCTTATGAGATGTACCATTTCATACGGTAATTTTCAAATTCACTTCATGATACTAATAGTAACACTGGTTTTCTTGTTGTTTATATTCAGCAAGTATGTATTTGCCAACTTTCATTATTATAAAGCTTTCATTCTTTCTTTGTTCCAAGTGAATTTCTCATAAACTATGTACAGCTGAGCTTTGTATTTTGAACAAAATTTAATTACTAAATCTCATTGCAATCTGAGTAGGAAATTCATTCCTTAACACATATGATGAAATCATTGGTTTACTTCTTTCCATTTAGTATAATATGCAGACTTTATTATTTATCTTGCTTTTTTCTTGAACTTCTTTTGTCTTATCTAATTTCTTTTCGTTTACTTTCTGTCCTCTGAATTTGGGAATTCTGTACACACTTCTCAGACAAGGAGATACAAA